ATAGTTGTAAAGGTGGACGGCAAACAGAGCCGCTTTTGTGGCCAGCCTCTCAGAAGCTCCAGACCAGCGTTATTTTTGGAAGCTTTATCTGATTGCAGGTCCTGAGACCCACACGCTCTGACCCCAGGCGCTGCACAGCGCCTCACACACAGCCACGGTTCGAGGACGTAGCTTTCAGGGGGCATCTTTTCTCCACGCAGATAATAACCTGTGCTTTTTGTGCTGCATCCCGTGACCCTATCTATTCATCTGCCTGGATGTTTCACCTTTCCATAAACAACTGTCAACACGGCCTGCTTTACTTTGCTGCTCTGACCGAGCTGAGGATGATGAGGAGCTGGGCTTCTTTTTTCCACCACGTGTCACAAATTAAAACAATGACTTTTAGTTATTAATCATTTATACCAAAATGGTCTAATTCTCCATTACTACTCCATCTTTTTTTAATAGAAGTATGGATTGTTTCTCACTGCACTGCAAATAATGCAAATCAAACAAGTCCTTTTTTTCAGTTTTTCTTAAAATAAGTGTATTTTTTCTTGAATTGAGGAGGAAAGTGTGACACTTTACCCCATGGAATGAGAAAATTAACGGTTAAAATAAGAAAAAACTATTACATTGTCTTATTTCAACTGCATATCATCTAATTATCTTATTTTAAGAGGGAAATACTCATCCCATTGGCAAACTATCTCATTTACCTACTCAAATTAAGGGTAAATACACTTAATTTAAGAACATTTTACTTATTTCTAGATCGTTTTTCCAGTGTGGAGAAAGCTGAAAAAAAGATATAATCCTAATTTAGTTAAGATTAATGGTTTCTTGAGGTATGAAGAAAAATACAAACAGAGAATTTTTCTTTGAGTCCTTAAATGTTTTCCTACCTCTGTGAAGTTGAAAAGTCTGGAGTTATTTCTTCTCATTCTTTCAGCCGCTCTGTCATGGGAACAGGACAGCTTGGAAGGAAATACCAAAGAGGAGGATACAGGAACCCCATTTAAGATCAGATATGAGAGCGTCTGTGGCACCAATCCGTCTTCTGGCTGTCACTCAACACGTCACGCTTTCCCCCGCCCCCTCAGCTGTCAGCTCGGCCACTGATAAACACCTAACGCTCAGGGGGCCTGTTTTGGGTCAGGGCTTCCACACCGTTGCTTCATCAGGCAGAACAACATGCAGACATGGACTATAGCTAATTATTCTGTCAGAAAAACAGTAAGTCTAGATGTCTCAGCTGTAGCCTGCATGAGAGGATTATTCTTCATACGTGTCTATCTGATGGTGAAATCTTGGTTTCATGCAACTGGCCCTTCTGGTTCTTTAAAGCAAGGCAACAGTTATAAATCCTGCTTTAGTTTGGTTTTCTTTTCTACCAAGTCTGAGCTTGGATCTCTACTGCCGTGTGTACGTGTTAAACATTTCTTAAACTGCTGTGAACTTTAATGACCCTGCCTCCTCCTGATGCATGCCCTCATGGAGTTACAGTGTAAAAAGCAAATACTAAACAGAGCAGAACGTCATTTCTAGCTCTCTATTCCATTCTTCTCATCTTTGGGGTCTACGCTCACGTAGAAGATAAATAAATGAGGTTGAAGACTACGGTGGACGTAGAACAAACTCATAAAAAGAATAGAGACTAAACTACTTACAAAGGAGCAGTAACATTTTAACCACCAACTGTCAGGTCAGGTGGAGGTTTGAAGAGGACCCAAATGCAAAGAATGAAGCTGAAGGTGGTTTCTAGCTGATTTAATTACAAAAAGGGCAAGAGAAGCCAAAAAAATCCACAAAAATACAAAAAACTCACAGGAAGGGGAAGAAATCATGACAAACCAGCAAACAGTGACTGGGCAGGAGGTGCAATAATGGGAGAGAGAAACAAAGACCAGGCTAATTAGCAGATTGGTAGCAGGTGTGGACAGAGGAGGCTAGAAGGGAGCTAGGGAATGACACAAGAGGTCAGCAGAGGGCAAATAAGAAATACAAAAGAATTCAAATACAGTCAAAAACAGGGATGGAACGATTTATGGAAACCGTCCGAACCGTTCGGTTCGACTGTCTCGGTTCGGTTCGCGTGTTTCGTTCGGTTCATGCGCTGCTCCTTTTTCTCATAGGCAAAGCGTTTACACTCCAGAGCAGAAGGTGGCGGTACTGCGACCAAAGCCAACCACCAGTAGTAAACAAGAAGAAGAAGAAGCGAAGCAGCATAGCCGGGTGTAGCAGAAAAAAATCAGTTGTTGTGGAGAATTGTGTGGGTATGGCGAGTGGGAAAGAACAGGAGTTGGAAGACGCGTCAGCAGCACTTTATAGGTCTGCTGTATGGGACCACTTTGCATTTAGAGTGACCTACGATGACGGCGGAAAGAAAGTTGTGGATTAAAGTGCAACAGTGTGCAAGCATTGTGCAACACGTTTTGTTTATGCTAACAGCAACACGACCAACATGTAATGCTAACCCCGAAATCCCACATACTCCGTCAGCGCTCCGCCCCGCTGCGCTCCAGACCGGCTGCACAAAGCAAAGCCTACAGCCTCCACTGTGGCTCCCGTCCGCTCCACGTTCCTTGGAGATGGTAGAGAGCATGCGCGAGATGATTAAACTCAAAGCAGAAAAACATGCGGAAATGATCCATGGTTTCCGCGAATCATTAAAAATAATTAGGCTACAAATCATTAATTTTTTTTAGATTTTTTTTCATTAATTTCATTAAAAAATTTCATTAATTTTTATAATTTTTATTAAATTTTTTTTTTTTCGGTGTAACAATAAACATATACCGAACCGAAAACCGTGACCATGAAACCGTGAACCAAACCGAACCGTGGATTTTGTGAACCGTTCCACCCCTAGTCAAAAATAACTAGAATAACACAAAATGGAAATAAAACCAATGAAAACTTAAAGATAAAATAGAACCAAAATCATAACACTAACAAATGGGTTTCCAAAGCAGAGGTCAGGACCCCCAGGGGGATAACAAGACATTAAATTGGGGGTCATAAGATGGTTTTCACCATAACTGTGAGGTGATCCCTGAGGTATGTGGAAAAATATATCTGATATATACATCAAATATGATGAATAAAACCATTTAGATAAGTAGGATCAGTTTAAGGTAGACCAGCACTTTGAGATTTTGTTGAAATGTAAAGTGCAATACAAATAAAATGTATTATTATTATTACTTGATCACAGATCATTTTCTTGAGGTATATGGAGGGCCAAAATATTTAATGAAAAACATCAATGTAAATGGCCCTTAGAAAAATAGTATGAATTATTCAAAAGTATCTTTAAATATATTTCCTAAGACCTTATTATTTATTTAGTTGTGTATTTTTATTTGATTGTATTTTGACTGTAATATTTAAATGAACGCAAATAAATGCAAGATCTATAATGTCATATTTACATATATTAAGGTATATTTATTTTACATTTTGGGACTCCATATACTTTATTGCTCTGTTCGAAAACCTAGGACGCATCCTTAGAAGACCGGATTCGAAGGCCGATTACGTCATAGCGCGGCGCCGAGGTCTGGTCGGATTCCAAGAGTCCTCGTTATGCGGCCTTAAAATGCGTCCTTCTTTTTGCCCGATTTGAAGGACGGGTCTGATGTATCCTCGGTATTCTTGGATATCCCAGGATTCATTGCGAGACCAAGCAAGCTGTGATCAGAGGAAAGGTTACTTGGCGCCGAACAGTGGTGAAAATTGGAAGTTCAGTTTAATATAATCCAGTCTGTGAATAGTTCCATCTGAAATGAATGAAAATAGTTGTTTTAATGGTTATAGAGTCAGATATGTGGCGGTAATGTTTGATTTATCTAAAGGTTTTTATCTGGTACTGTATAAATGGGTTTGGCTGGAATTTAAGGACAGATTCTAATATATCTGCAGGGTGGGAACTATAAATCTGATAGGATTTTTATCTTTTTATTGCTGTTTTGCACAATATGCTTAACTACGTATTTTTTGTTGTTGAATATTAGAGATTTTGCAGATATATCTTTTATAAATACATTGTTTAGATTTACTTATATATTTCTACTCCTTTTATAGAATAGAATAGAAAATCCCTTTATTGTCCCACAATGGGCAGATTTACAGCAGCAGAAAGATTATTGAAAATGGTCCGAAAAATGTGGACCTTAGAAAAATGTATAAGAATAACATGATAGGGAAGAGTTAAAATATAAACAATAAAATACTGTAAAGTGTTTTAACAATATTAAACTGGAGAATAAATAACCAATATGCAGCTATGGACATTTTTACAGTAATGGATATTTGAAAATAGCAGCAACATCAGAGATGTGCAGAATGACAGCAGCAGGTTATTTAACTGACTAAGGTTTCTATCATTACATTTGATTTTATTTGTTCCTGCTCCCGGTGGTTGGAACCTTTATTCCATTCGGGATTCTTGTGAGTGTAGTCTTTGTTCACTTCACAATAAAAAGAGAAATAAATAAACAGTTTTGAAAACTTCTGTATTCATTCTTTTCCTGCTTTGTGTGTCAACTTTCACGGTTGCTAAGCAACAGCGCATACTGCGGTAAAACCCGCCGAAAGGTAGACCTGGTCGAATTCACAGCCAAAACTCTTCCGGTCTCCTTATTTTCAAGGACTTCGAAGGATCCAGTCTAGGTAGACCGCGTCCTTGGAGGACCCGTCCTAGGTTTTCGAACAGAGCCTATGAATCACATCCCAATCATAATGAAAAACATCAGGCACCCCTCACATTAGCACCAATCAGAATGTAAATGTTTCTCTTTTGGTAAGTTGACTTTTGGGATATGGCGCCATCTACTGGATAGAGAAGGAATGCTAAGGAATAGTTTCTTATATTCAAGTGAAAAAATGTTGTAACCTTTCGATTTTAAAATATAAACGAAGCCGGAACAGATACTTTAGGATGAAAAACTTTATTTCTGCAAATTAAAAAAAAAAAAAAAATAGTCAAACCAACTTTCTTTCCTTTTTTTTTTTTTTTTTTTTAGATACTAAGAAAAAGTGTTCTTTAGTTTAGAGGCTGCCTCTTTATTCGTTGCTGCAGTAACTTTTGTAGTGTATTTTCTGGGTCCCTCCACAGGCAGGAGGTTTGGTGCCCTAAGGAAAGAAAAAATAAGAAAGAAAAAAAAAAAACGTTTTAATCAGTTTCAGAAATTAGAAGATAAAACGCTGTGATCTGAGCCATCGGTTTTACCTTATACATGGAGCAGACCAAAGTGAACAGAGAAGACATGGCCTTGTCCTGCAGATCATCTGTATGCTCCTGTGAAAAGAAAATATGAAAAATGAACACTTCCCATCTTAAACCACATTTTGTGTTAAAAATCAATTTAATCTCAGTATAGGAGAGTAGTAGGCCTAAACTTACAGGCTGGGTAAGGAGAGCAGGAATCTAAGAAGCAGCCAAGAGGTTCAAAACCAGAAAGATACAAAAAAAAAAAACAGGTGGAGGAAGGCGCTCTGGTCTGGTTAGCTCAAAGATTCAACTGTTTGATAATTATCCTAACAGTCTGAATGCTGAACACTAAATGGAAGGAAACCCAGCACAACATCCCCACTGTCTACAGTGGTGGCAGCTTCATGGTGTGGGGATGATTTCTTTGTTTTTTTCTCTCCTTCCACAGCAACGAAGATGGCTGCAGCTAAATAAGAGGCTATAGGGCTATACCAAAGTGGAAAAATTTAAGACTAATGCATATTCTGTTCGTTAGAATGGCCTAGTTAAAGTTAAAACCTGAATTGATCACCAATAAATGAAAACCGATTGCAAAAAGGTTTATTAATGCTAAACAAAAGGCGTTGGCAAAAATGCTTCCTTATGCCTTTTTAGCATTAACATTAGCCCACTATTTTGCAAATGCTTTTTTTTAAGCATTAGCCAACCTTGTTGCTAATGCCTTTTTTTAGCAATAGGAAACCATTTTGCTAAAACTAGTTATAGCATTAGCAAACCTTTGGCTAATGCCTTTTTTGGCATTAGCCCACCACTTTGCTAATGCCTTTTTTTTTTTTTTAAGCATTAGCCAACCTTGTTGCTAATGCCTTTTTTAGCATTAGCATTAGCCCACCACTTTGCTAATGCCTTTTTTAGCATTAGGAAACCATTTTGCTAATGCCAATTATAGCATTAGCAAACCTTTGGCTAATGCATTTTTTAGCATTAGGAAACCATTTTGCTAATGCCAATTATAGCATTAGCAAACCTTTGGCTAATGCATTTTTTAGCATTAGGAAACCATTTTGCTAATGCCAATTATAGCATTAGCAAACCTTTGGCTAATGCCTTTTTTTAGGATTAGCATTGGTATTAGCACACGTGCACCACTTACTATGATATATGATCTATTAGGGGTGTAAATAATAATCATTTTGTATCGATGCATCGATCCAACAGCCGACGATCCAATGCATCGACACGTCCACAAGAGTATCAATTCATGTTTTTTTTTTTTTCCCTCCGTTCTATTTTTATACATTTGTTCCTGGACGTAATTTTGACTCCCGTGCTGTGGTGGCGCTAAACCTATTTTCCCCTCCTACCTCGCTTCCTTTAGCCACTACCCTCTTTTTGCTTGCACACACACACGTAAACACAGAGGCAATATTATTCTTCAGTAAATGAGGTTTTCATAGGCCTGGGTAGAGTACAGCTGTGCTACTTCTGTTATTTTCTGTCGTTTCTAAAATAAATGACATAACGATATTACAGCTTTCATTGATTTATTTCAAATTTGAAACATTGTCTAGCCTGTAAGGTAAAGAAAAAAACTAAAAACAAACAATCGAATCGAAGTGTATTCTTGAGTATCAAAAATAATCGAATCTTTGGATCAGGAAATCGATACTGAATCGAATCGCCATGATGGATGAGATTTACACCCCTGTGATCTATGAAGTTGACGAAGCCAAATATCTGGAACTTTTTCCAAATGTTAAGCAACTTAAACCTCCTAGAAAACCAAACTTATGGTCACATGCCATCTTTTTTTCCCCTTTGTGTACGTTTTGTTTTTTGCTAGGTTTACAAAAACAAAGTTTAAAACATAAAAATATATGGATATATTAGGCAAACAGGAAGCCATAATTTTAACCTCCCAGATTGAACCAGAGGTGTAGAGATCCTTAAAGGAATAGTACACCCAAAACATGATTAGCCTTCATTTTCTACTCACCCCCATGCTGAACAACACTCTGGAGTACTTTTTTGATATCTCAAATGCATCTGGAGATCTGGGAGGCTTCTTGCTGTCTGCTGTCAGTAGTGTATAGGAAATCCTATACACTACTGTTTATGCTCTAAAAACATTCTAAATGACTTCGTTTCAAGTAAATTATGGACGCTACCCACTCAGGACACTTGGAATACATTGGACGAGCAGTATGGAGGAATATTGACACGTTTTTTGTGGACTTTTATGGACCTTTCTGCCTCGGGCGCCATAGACCTCCATTATTTGAATGTCGTATTTGAATGTTGAGATATCAAAAAAGTACTCCAGAGTGTTGTTCAGCATGGGGGTGAGTAGAAAATGAAGGCTAATCATGTTTTGGGTGTACTATTCCTTTAAAGTCACAATGCTGTAGGTGACTGGGGCTCTTTATGCTAAGTGGGGATAGATCATGTTTTTTCTCAGTTATATCAAAGTGCCTTATGTTATGAAGGTAGGTGGACTTTTTATATTTCGCTGTAAAATAGCAAACTCTTCAGGCTTACCCCATTAATGGTCACCCAGGGCACATACTCATGGGGAGGCTTCAGTGCTTTGGTCATCATGGCGTTCTGATGCATCAGCTGCATTCCCAGGTCTCCTTTAGCACAGCTCATTACTTTGTCAATGCTCAGATCAGGGGCGTAGACTTTCAGACACTAGAAACAAGAAAAGGGTTAAAAAATAAGATCCACTGATCAAAATGAGCTCAGAGCCTTCAGAGCCAGTCAACACAGACTGAAATAAAACGGTTGCTTACGCTTTCAGCTGAGCCGATGACGTCGGCGGAGGATTCCATGCAGAAGATGATGGGGAAAGCCATCTGAGTCATGTTCATTATACAACTCTATGGAAGTTAGATAAACAAACCAGCTTAAACCATCGCTCTCACATTCCATAAAAAAGTTAAAAAACCATCCAGGAAGCTTTTGTCAATTCAAAATGTCAGAAATAGCGTCGAGTTTGAGGCTTTATAGACTGGAACAGAAACAAAGGCTTGACCCGATACCCATCTATGTCTCTGAAAGGAGGGCCGTTAGAGGGAATTGTTGGCCTGGCTGAACAGGCGAGGTGTTGTTGTCCCCTGTAAGAGGGTGGGGGTTGCAATGATAGTGGGTCATTATTTTATTGATTCCTTCCCTGCTGTATAACGCTACGTTCACACCGGATGCAGCAGGAGCAGCAAAAACAAGTCGGCTGCTTCATTTTTGCTGCTTGTACCAGTTAGTTCTGACGCGCAGCTTTGCTGCTCTGGCTGCGCGGAGCAAACATGTGTCTGATGCGCGTTGGGCGGAGCTTCACTATCCTTTCTTTGCCTTGCAGCTATATTTGCTGTGATCAGTGGGAATAAAGTAGTTTTAATATGTTTTTAAGTAAGAAAATCCACCTGAAAACTTCATCAGTGCAGTCAGTTCATCCAGATTACCATCCTGCCTTTCAATATTATTTCTGTCGGAGCCGCTCAGACCCCCACATACAGCGGAGCGCTGTCAGTAGGAATCCCATTCAACAGCAGCCTCTGGCCGGGTCGCCTCCCCGTGGTTCACCGCGGCGGCTGGCAGGTGTTTTTCATCTAAATAATCCAAACTGCAGGCACCAGGATAATAAAAGCAAACATATTCTGTCGGCAGGTTTCAGCATTTTAAGCTAATTTAGGCGTCAATAAACTGTTTCAGAGGAGCGATCACAGCGCTCTGTATCATCAGCGATGTGTCTGTCTCGCTGTCAGCTACCAGATCAGCTTCCAGCTTCTGTTCCCCAGCCCAGACACACCTGGGCTGGGGAACACAAACGGTACGACAGCCAGGCTTCACTTGGTAACCTCATCTAGAGCAGGCATCCCCAAACTTGGTCCTCAAGGCCCCCTGTCCTGCAGGTTTTAGAGGTTTCTCTGCTTCAGCACAGCTGGTTATAATGATTACAGTAGACCAAAAGCCTGTTAATCAGCTTTCAATTAAAATCAGCTGTACTGGAGCAAGGAAACCTCTAAAACCTGCAGGACAGCGGGCCTCCAGGACCGAGTTTGGAGATGCCTGATAGAGGAATTACCAAAAATATCGTCCAATATTCGGTTTTGAACAGAATCTGAAACTCTACATGGGCCCATTCTTCTTTTTATTCATAAATGGACATTTGTAAAAAATTTCAGCCGCTTGACAAGATGCATCTTTTTTTTTTATGTTGAACAATCATCCGGTTTTGTCAATAACGAATGCAGATGGTGAAACGATTGCATTAAGTCGTTGCAACGACACACACCTCCCTGCATCCTGTTAAACTTAATCCAGAAAACATTTATTTATCCTGTTGACAGTTACTGTTTATGCTGGTTTGCTGATCTTTAGCTCCTTTGGTAGATTTATATAAGCTTTAAGTAGGAATTTAGCCTGAAATGCTCCAAAATGGTAAAATTACATCAAGTCTGGAAGAAAAACAAACAAACAGCTAAATAGAAATATTATTTAAACCTAAATGTCTCAGGGCTACAAATGGTTCTGGATTAAACTGTACAAGCCTGATTGGACCTCTGTGAAGTAAATTTAAATTTACAATCAAATCAAAAGTATAAAAAGCTAATGTTGACTGGTCAGTTTAAAGGAATAGTACACCCAAAACATGATTAGCCTTCATTTTCTACTCACCCCCATGTTGAACAACACTCTGGAGTACTTTTTTGATACCTCAAATGCATCTGGAGATCTGGGAGGCTTCTTGCTGTCTGCTGACATTCAAATAATGGAGGTCTATGGCGCCCGAGGCAGAAAGGTCCATAAAAGTCCACAAAAAATTTGTCAATATTCCTCCATACGGCTCGTCCAATGTATTCCAAGTGTCCTGAGTGGGTAGCGTCCATAATTTACTCGAAACAAAGTCATTTAGAATGTTTTTAGAGCATAAACAGTAGTGTATAGGAGTTCCTAAAAGCGCGCGCCTGCGAGTTCACGACGCTACGGAAACTGCTGCAGACCAAACCAGATGAAAGTGCGCATTCAGCGTCTGCTCTGCCGATAATGCAAGCGTAGAAGAAGAAATGTGCTGTTTACCTGTGCAAAGAAAGAAACAACGAAAGAAAAATGTCTGAGGACTTCAGTGTTGAGGAAGAGCATGAGTTCTTTGCCGAGCTGAATGCGCACTTTCATCTGGTTTGGTCTGCCGCGGTTTCCGTAGACTCGTGAACTCGCAGGCGCGCGCTTTTAGGAAATCCTATACACTACTGTTTATGCTCTAAAAATATTCTAAATGACTTCGTTTCGAGTAAATTATGGACGCTACCCACTCAGGACACTTGGAATACATTGGACGAGCAGTATGGAGGAATATTGACACGTTTTTTGTGGATCTTTATGGACCTTTCTGCCTCGGGCGCCATAGACCTCCATTATTTGAATGTCAGCAGACAGCAAGAAGCCTCCCAGATCTCCAGATGCATTTGAGATATCAAAAAAGTACTCCAGAGTGTTGTTCAGCATGGGGGTGAGTAGAAAATGAAGGCTAATCATGTTTTGGGTGTACTATTCCTTTAAGACAGGATTCAGAAATCTGTGGCCCTTTTGACTCGCAACAATGGCTCTTCATCGCTTTGGCTAAACATGATGAAGAGCCAGCTAATCTTTGGAAAAAATAGACACTAACAAATGCTGGTTAGTGTGCCGATAGGTTTTCTTCCTTCTGTGAAAATAAGTGAAATATATTTTTTATCTTTGTAGCAAAGTTAACAGGGGCTACAGTGCTTTTTGTTCATTGGTTGAGGAATAAGGGATTATTATTGCATACTGTCACTTTAAGAACAGCAACTGCAAATCCCGCGAGAACTCCGAAGTCTCATGAGAACCCGCAAATATTGCCAGTTGGGAAGCTAGGGACGGTTAATCACTGCAGTTGGTCACAAAACATCCTAAACTGACTGAAAAACATCACGTAGGCGTGTGCTGTCTCCATTCTGCTGGGATCGAAGTGGAGCAGCAGAGCGGCGTTAGTGACAAATCTAAGGATAAAAATCCTTGATATGACATCATAAATTGTTTATTTTACCTTAAGTATATCTTGTTTATTGATGTCCGTCACAGAGGGGAGAAAGAGGAGTGTCTTTGTGCTGTGTCCAAGTATAAAAGAAAGCTGTAGGCTATCCACTGGATGTGGGTGATGTTCTCATTTATATTTGAAAAATAAGTTATTTAAGGTAATAGGGCTCGGGATCCGCGTTGCATTGTGGGACGTGGCGGCCATGTTGAGGGCTACGCGAACGTAAACAGCTCTGATACAACGTTGTTGTTGAACGAAGAGACGTAGAAGTAGAGAGAAAAAAGATGCTAAAATCCCGAAAAGGATTTGGAATTTACCAGGACTCATTAAATAGAGAAGCCAAGGACCGGTATGTTGACAAAATCAGCATTATTAATAATTTGGATCCATCTGAAGTTCCAAACAATGAGTGGAGCACCGATGGGTGAGCGCCTATACTTCAAAACAGTTCCGAAGCTACAAGTCCTTGGAGTCTCATGTGCAGTTCACCAATGGATGGGTTCAGGTAGCCTCGTGAGACCATCCTGATCTCGCGAGCTTTCAAGGTTTCACTCGCAGATCAGTCTGGCTACTTTCCGTTAAAGAAAATTTGGAGCCGTTCACCAAACGAACGTCCAATCAGCGTTGGCTTTGAGGCGGGTTGAGGTGTGACGCAACAAGAAGCGCGACAGTTCAAGTCTAAAGAACATGACGGCTTCAGCCGATGAAACTAGCGTTAGCGTGGCTATCGAGCAAGTTATATCGGAATTACAGAGTATTTCTTCACTGAAAGAAGAGCAAAACACTGCTCTGGAGGCTTTTCTCAGAGGAAAAGATGTTTTTGCTCTTCTCCCGAATGGTTTCAGCAAGAGTTTGATCTATCAATTGGCTCCTCTTCGTCGTCGCTCTGTTAGTACGTCATATGCTTCGTTGATCTGATTGGTTTATTTGGCCCGTCTATCACCAACATAGGCCAATCAGCTAACCAGTATTTTCGCCCCTTCCCAAAATTACTTCAATGGAAGGTTTCCAGATGGATATGCGGAGCAAATCCATCTGGCGGAGTCAGGTTAGGGTTCAGGAGCTGCAGATCATAAAGCCAGCAAACAGTGGGAACACAGTAATCCGTACGAAGGTAAGCTGTGATCAGACGGGCTCCGGAACCCGCTAGTTTAGTAACTGCTAACCGCTAATGCTAACAACCACTCACGCATGTAATGTACTTTTAACTAGCTGCTATGTGTTTCAAAGGTGTAGTTAGTAACGTTAACTGCCAACCCTCCCCAAACCCTCCGGGTTTCTCACGTATTTGAGCCTTTTCCCGCTGCCGTTTTTATTATTTTCCCGTAAAAGATCCCAACTTTGAAGGAAAGAAACAATGTAGGCTCTAAAATAAAACCGTGCATCTTTAACTTACCAGAATGAAAATGCAGGGAACACACTCTCATTGACATCGGGATACTGTGGAAAGTTATGTTCTTACAGCCGCGGTCCGAGCTAGCCGACGACTCTTTATCTCTGACGCTTGGTCTCCGTGGTTGCGCCTCCAGGCAGGAAAGCGGTGGAAAGTTAACCCATTTTCTATGTTTTTCCCATGGCGATCATGTATTGAGCTGTTACAGCCCACAATAAAGGTTTACCATGGTTGAAACCAAGTTAAGGTGAAATTAATCAAATTAAAACACGGCTGAGAGGGAGTACAGCACGCGGTAGTCGTAGGCAGTAGTCTGAGTAGCGGTAAAGGAGGCCATCAAGATGGCGGCCACGCAAAGTGCTAACGTCATGACGACCAAGCCCTATAGGTTGTAATAATATGTTGGAGTGATTAATCTGTTTCTTATTGTTTTATATAGAAGAATTTGACTGTAAGATGTTCTATAAGTGTGGCTGAGCATTTTATTTTCTGTTTTATAGGAGAGCAGCCACTACTGTGGTCTGTTTTTGGTATTAAAGCTTAAAGTAGCTAAATTCATATTCATAAATTTATATTCTTCTATCTGGATATGTTTAGTAAAACCCTCAAAATTATAAAATTAATGCCGTTTTCTGTGTGAATACAGTCTGGGAATAAAGAACCCACAAAATATATATATTTCTTTGTGTCCTGATTCTCTTAAAGTGATTATTAAAAAAGTTTAATTAAAATTCTGTATACAGTGAGACTAATTTGTATGAAGGAGGCTGCAAGTTTGACTACCTCTATCATGTTCCCCAGACACTCCGGGGGGCCGTGCTGACACACATAGGTGTACTTGTCACCATCAGGCTTCTCCTGCAGAGGTCATACAATGAAATTCAAAAGACTTCCATTTTTGTTGTAGTTTTTTTTATTTATTTTTTTATAAATTACTTACTTGTGCATTTCCATAGGGCACCAAGGTAACAGACATGATGTCGCTTAGCATCACAAAGGTGGGGAAGAGCATTCCAGCGAGGAAATTCCTGCAGCCGGGACAGAGGCTCTCATAGTAAAGCGCCACCTGGACTGGATCGGCTGTCTGGTGGGTCTTCCTGAAGTCAGCCTCAAGGCACTGCTTCAAAACCTGCATCAAGAGGGGCAAGGCGAAATAAGAAACGTAGCTACAATGTCTGAACCACCTGGATCTGCTGCTCCTGATGATGAGTTCAGGGTCAGCTACGCCCCATTCTCCTGAGGAAAACCTCTCCGTCTGTCGGCTAAATCTTTTCGCGTATTTAGCCAATTAGCATTAAGCATCTAGCTTCATGACCCGCCCCCGTCTGCCTCCGCTCCATAGATGCTATAGGTGTGTTCGATTTCAAAGGCTGCATCCTCCAAGGATGCGGTCTACCTGGACTGGATCCCTCGAACTCCGTGAAAATTAGGAGATCAGAAGAGTTTTGGCAATAGATTCAAACGGGTCAAGGCTTCCACTGCACGCTCTGTTGCTTAGCAACCGTGAGAATTGACACACAAAGCAGGAAAAGAATGAATACCAAACTTTCCAAAACCGTATTTTATTTTTGTTTAGAGTAAAGTGGATAAAGACTACACTCATGAGAATACGGAGTAGAATAACTGTGACAACCACCGGGAGCAGGAACAAATAAAAGTAAACGTAATGATATAGAAGGGGTAGAAAGATATAAGTAAATCTAAACAATGTATGTATTAGGGGTGGAACGGTTCACAAACTCCATGGTTCGGTTCACGGTTTTCGGTTCGGTATATGTTGATTGTTAGCCTGACATGTTGGTCATGTTGCTGTTAGCATAAACAAAACGTGTTGCACAATGCTTTCACACTGTTGCACTTTTATCCACAACTTTCTTTCCACCGTCATCGTAGGTCACTCTAAATGCAAAGTGGTCCCATACAGCAGACCTATAAAGTGCTGCTGGCGCGTCTTCCAACTCCTGTTCTTTCCCACTCGCCATACCCACACAATTCTCCACAACAACTGAGTTTTTTCCCTGCTACACGGCTACGCTGCTTCGCTTCTTCTTCTTCTTGTTTACTACTGGTGGTTGGCTTTGGTCGCAGTACCACCACCTTCTGCTCTGGAGTGTAAACGCTTTGCCTATCAGAAAAAGGAGCAGTGCATGAACCGAACGAAACACACGCGAACCGAACCGAGACAGTCGAACCGAACGATTCTGATGGTTTTCATTAACCGTTCCATCCCTAGTATGTATAAAAAATATATCTGCAAAATGGCTTATATTCAACAACAAAAAATACTTAGTTAAGCTAAATGTGCAACATACACATGAAATCAGGTGCATTTTAATGGCCATTTGTAAAGTTGAACAACGCTTATTGAGCAATTATTTCATGAAATGTACAGGGGAGGTTTAGCCTTCTTTGTGTTCAAAGAGAAATCGGCACTGATCGTACTGTAAAACATATTTAGCCTTTGTGTTTTTCATAGATCCTTCTGATGCAAGAAAAGAACTCAGGTCTTTAAGAAAATGACTGCCTTTAGAAAAAAAAATTATTTGATAAGAGTAATCACCGTTAGATTAACTCATTATTCAATAAATTGCATCTATGGCATGTAGACATCCTCTTAAGGGAATTCCATCCTTCCACAGCTGACACACATAATAACATCACAGAAGATCTTTTTTAAATGGGAAAAGTGTTTTTTGCTTTCCTATTCTACTTAATTTTCCAAAAGTATCAGCAGTCCATTTAGAATATATTTAATTCTCTTTTTCTCCTTTAATTTTAAAACCTAATATTTGAAATAGCATGGTGGTAATTACAAAGAAATCCGATAGAATAAAGAAATAATGAGAATTCAAAAAGTCGCAAGATTACAACTTCATGATAGTATTTCTTTAATCTTGCAATATATTGACTTTATTCTCATAATTCTAGTAGGTTATTCTCGTAATATTTCAGGTTTCCAAAAAACTAAATTCTCTTTAGTCTGGCCTCAATAGTACGTTATAAAAAGAACAAACATTCTGGGGCAAATATTTTTTTTTGTAGTAAAAATAGTCTAAAAAATGTTTTTATTAGCTGGACTGAATTCAGTTTTCTTGTTTTAATTCACACAAAAAAAGTATTTAACTGTAACAGAAACAGTTTTTTTTTATTTTAAAGTGAGAAAAGAAAAAAGTAAAGTTTTTTTCCCCCTTTACAGACATTTCCAAAAGTATCAGCCACCTGTGGTGAATATTGATAGAATCAAATCTCATTTTTTCCTTTTAATTAACTGCAGTAAAACATCTGTTGCTTGCAGAGTCTGCAGACCTCTGCTGCTTCCTAACTGAAGCACAATGAGCTGGAATTCAGAGCGACGCTAAACGGACAGAATTCATGGGAAGCTCCAGTCGCTTTGCTTCGACCACTTCCTGTTCAGAAGGGAAGTGCAATTCAGGATACAAGCCTCCGTGAAAAAACTAACCCAGACGATGGTTAAAGCAGAGAAACGAGAAGTGTTGGTCACCATCAAAGATCGTTCCACTCACCCCAGACATTAACTCGAGGAAAAACATCGAACCCAGCTGAAGGTTGAAGCTGAGGTGGTTTCTATTTAGTTAGAGGTCCAAATCAAAAGGTTTTTATATTTCAATGCAATTAAATCATCCAGCTGTTTATTTTTATTACGATTGTATGCGATTGTTTCTTTACTTGCATTTTTCCCCCACATACTCCTTCAGCGTCGGATTAAATCGGTCCAACCTTTGGATGTTGGCTTATGCCAGTTTCCAAAAACTGTTTTTGTCACTAAAAGGCAAACATGCACCAAGTATGAAAGTTTTTTTTAGTAAAAGAAAAAAAAAGTTGCATCCAAGCTGAAGAGGTCCATCTTAAAGTATTCTGAAATATGCTGGCATTTCTAAAATGACTCTACATGCTCATCCAGGAGGAGGGAAAGCTGCAGCTCAGTACCTGGATGCACTCTGTCAGCTTGGCTTATATAAAATATAAACCTTTTTTTAAGTAGAAAAATAACTTGAAAATACTTATTACTTATTGTCAGTTTAGTCAGACGCGTGTGCAAAAAGATGACTAAACCATGTGTGATTTTTGTGTTCCTGTTTGGCTGTGACTCCATCCTGGAGAGAAATATCAGCTGTGCTGCTGCCATCAACACCTTTGTTTCTAGATGTTTTTTCAGTGTAGTCCTGTTTCTCTGACTGTGACTAACTGGATGTGCTCTCTTCATCCTCTGACATGGGAGCTGGCTTGGAGCTCGCCTGTGTGTTTCCTGGATGGGGCCGCCTTTTACAGCTGATTTCTGTATCTCTGCTTCTGTCTCCTTGAACTCCAGTCGGCCTCAGCAGATGGCCACTCACACTGAGGTTTCCTTCTGTTAGAAGGATGTTTTCCTCTCCACTGTCGCTGCAAGCATGCTTAGTCGGAGTGGATGAGTGGATGCAATCAACTGGTTTTTCTTAGATAGAAAACTTAATCAATCTGACTGGATGATCTGGTTGAACTGTAAAGTGCCTTGAGATGACGTGTGTTGTGGCGTTATATAAATAAACTGTATCATAATTCATATTAGTTGACACACTAAAAACTGCAATCTAATAATTAACAGACAGAGTTTTAGGAATTCATAAAGCATCATAACCTTCAGCACACATTTCATTGTGCAAAGCATGAATGTTGTAGGAATAGAAATAAAATGAATTGAATTAAAGTTTTTTGGCCTTTTCCTGCGGTTCTCAGTTTAGTCAGACGCGCGCGCGTAAAGATGACTAAACCGTGCGTGATTTTCTCCCGTTTCACTTCCTGTTTTTGAAGATTTGTTTTGCTCCCTTCACCTTCAAACCTCGGATAAATTAACTTTTTCCCTCCTAATAATTATAACCAAACCAAACCGTCGATGTTTGTTAGAAAAAGTTAAAAGAGAACATGGAAGCTAACTGACAGCGGGCTGTGCTTTACTGTCTTTAACCCAAACACCAAAGTTTAGTCAGGATGTTTACATAAGTTTAGCTCTACTATATATATATATATATATATATATATATATATATATATATATATATATATAACGGTTTTTTCATATATATATATAAAACATATATATATATATATATATATATATATATATATATATATATATATATATATTTCATATATAATTTATTTATTTTTATTTATAATTTTTTTTCTAATAGCATGGAAGTAGAAACTCACCCCACAGCGAGCAGCTGACTCTAAAGAGGAGCACCACTTTGCAGGAGGTTCGGAGCAGGACGGAGGCAGGGAGGTGCAGCCGGACGGAGCGCTGAGCCAGACCGCCAGGAGGAGCGGGAGCAGGACCTTCATCTTCAGCTGCGGTCAGTCTTCACTATTCTGTAGAAAAACTCCCCACAGCGAGACCTCCGACACCGCAGCGATCCCCGCTTTAAATCCAACCCTGCCGCTTCCGCCTAAAGGCTTCTGAGGATCTGATTGGCTGTCGCTCCCAGCGTCACTTGTAACCAGCAGAAATCCTGAAACCTCCCCAGCTGCTTTCAACAGAGATTTTTCCTAAGAATAAGGGGATTTCCTGGATGTTTATTCCATGCAGGTTGTAAAGGTTCAGCTGTTTTATTAATGTTTAACTCATCTCTGGATGCATATTGTAAAAACTCAGCAGAATTCAAAGTTGTCTTTCTGAATGTTATGTTACACCATGTAGGTCACTGTCACATGTCTGCACCACAGCTGAGGTCATCATCTCACCTGTAAAATAATAAAACCTCTACACTAAGTGTAGCACATAATAAATAACTTTTCCTGCTGATCGTCACATGGCCATGAGGTAAACAGAGATAACAAAAAGTGCTGACTCAGTTTAATGGTGAAGCACAGTTTAAGGAATGAAGTGATAAACTTATAGGAAAATTAGTTAGTTGTAAAGAAAAATAAGGCTTTAATTTGTCTCCAAAATATTTTTGATGCATAGAATAAAAAAAAATTTTCCATTTTAAAGGTATAGAGGACGATCTTTTATTTCCAGCTGGATCATCTAAATAAGTGGTCCTCCTAACTGTCAGTCATATCTTTACGTAAGGCCGTCCTACGTGTTCGTCCCGTTAGCTATCATTTTCTATGCATGCGCACTTTCAGGCGTGTATCTGTGGTGAGCTACGGTTTCAGACATTTATTGAAGCTCACCTTTCTCACCGCGGTTCTTTGAAAATGGCCGAGGGTCATAAGAGAAAAAGTGTCTACGAGGTGTATGAGAAGAAAAGAGAGGCCTCAGAAGAGGCAGATATATCCCAGAATACTTTGCACTGAGAGCTATCCTCGCAAAGCATCCTGGGATTTGCTGTCACAACGGCCCGCTGTTGCCATAGCCTGTTTCTACCCGACAGCGCCGACTAATAACAAAGATGGTGCAGCAAAAAGTAGTGACCATCTGTCTGAACGGTCATTTAATTCAGTCCACTATAAAGTTCCTGCTCTATATAGTGATCGAGGGATTTAGGGGTTAGAGCGGACGTTCGGGTACAGTTAGCTTGTATGAGCTATGAGAACAGCAACTTTTAAACAGAGCGCTCTTCCACGCGTGGAGAAGGCGGGTCCTTTGAAAAATTTGCGAAAATCCTCAACAATACCTTTAAGGTAATAGCTACAAATTTAACTCCTCCAGGCCAGTAGGTGGCAGACTGGCTCTCTTGTTCTGTAGAGTTTGCCAGCCAATAGCCAGGTCCGCTAATGCTAATTCTATCTTTTACATTAATTCATAGTTTACCCAGGTAAAGAAAGAGACTAAACCAGCTGTGTCTATGAAGGAAAACCTGCAAATGTTTTATTTATTTTTGTATTGCTTTAATTACACATTTTGGAAAGGAATTTGCTCCTTAATTCAGTGGTGGTTCTAGACTAAATAATTTACTACAGAGGCCAGTGTGGGGGGGCATTGGTTTTTTTAGGGGGCCACAGAAACAAACAAACACACAAATATACAGCTAGGAGTGCATAATTTTTTAATAGTAAGAGAGCCAAAAACCAAGTTTGAAGATCCCTGATTTAACACATAAAATACAGCATCCTATTAGTATGACTGAAGCTTAAAGCTAACTGTGATTTCTAAATAAGTTTACTGCAAAATATGAAGGCTACTGTATACATTGGTGAGCGGTTCATATGGTAATTAGGCCTTCAGTAGGCACTCCCCAACTTAAAGGTATAGTGGAGGATGTTCTTTTTCCAGGTGGATCATCTAAATCAGTGGTCCTCCTAATTGTCAATCCTTCTGGTGATATGTTTACGTAAGGCCGTCCTACATGCTCATCCCCATTTTCACTTACCGGTGGTGTGTCTGACATAGTGAAAAAATTACAAACAGCAACTTTAAAACATCGTGCACGAGGAGAAATGGGCTCGTGCACGCTCTCGCACGCGTTTGAAGGAAAAGTCTGGTCACATTCAGAATGCAAACTTCTGAGAGAACTTTAAGTATGAAATTCTTACATACTGTTCTATAAATGATGTGTTTTTAATTAAGAGTAATTTTCATTTGAATGTTCTTTACTGGAGACATCCATGTTTGTCAAAGAACTCTACTGCCACCTACTGGTTTGTGACGTCACGGTATGGTATCGGCTGTTAATCAAGTCCCAGTGCTGTATCTGGTGTTTGTCACAACGCGCTATTATCCATGACGGCGACATTCCCCTCCAAGTTGGCAATCCAATGACAAACCCGTCCGTGGAGGATCAGGAATCGGAAAGGTGGAATAACTCATTTATTTTCACTTTTACCCGATGTATTCCAGCATCCAGCTGCCATGCACGTGGGCATTGTCAGTTTCACTATAGCTCTGGTGAATTTCAATGGTGAAGTCCTCTGGAAATCTTCAATAATTGTTGTTGATTGCAGATGTGTCTAGTAGTTCCCATTGATTTAGCTTGTAAAGCGGGGAGAATGGCGCTAGGCTAACCGCAGCATGACGTCACTGCCGGAAGATGGCAGGAGGGAGGGGCTACTATATTTGGACCAAAATGGCCGCTCCCAGACTCAGCGATCATGAGGAAAATTATCGTTTTATTGTTTTACTTTTTAATGCTAAATTCACAGCAAACTCATTAGTTTTAGGTGCAAATAATGACCCATTGGTGATTTCTTTATTGGTTCCCTTTTGGCATCAGGTATATGGTTGTATATGTGCCTTTTTTTTTTAGTTATACACCTTTTATTCCCAAAAAGTTTTAACAAAAACGACTGGACTTTGTTTCCAAGTTTGAAAACATTTCTCTTCCATCCAGGAAGCTTTTTCAGTTCAAAATGTCTGGATTAGCTTTGAGTTCCACGCTTAATAGAGTAGCAAAACAAAACCTTGTTATAGCTTAGAAAACAGGCAAATCCAATCGAACCAAAAAATAAAAAATAAAAAAAGGTCCACCCCTTAGTAATGGGGAGTCGTCGAGGTTGCTGTTGGCCTTAAACACCCCAAACTGGCCCATACCTTAAATGTATATATATTAGTGCTGTCAAAATTATCGCGTTAACGCGAGGCCATTTTAATGTCGATAATTTTTTTAATGTGAGATTAACGCTGTGTGGTTTTATGGTACAATTTTCCAAGTACATCCCGCTGCAGCCTGCGGGAAGGCGGGGCTATTTTCCCCCAGTCTATGCATTTTCCATAGGCTTCGAGAGCCGAGCTCCTCAAGGAAAAAAGACGCTCATACACTGGGTAGCGCTAGTGCCTTTTCTTTAAGCCCCACCACCAACAAACAAGTTGAGTGTCTGGTAACTAGTAGCAACCTGAAATACGCTGAGAAAACTGATTACAGAGGTGAAATGGAATTTGCTACGGCACTCTTGCTGTCTGTGTACGCCACAGGTCGGTATCGTGTGTGTGTGTGTGGGTGGGTGTGTGTGGGTGTGTGTGTGTGTGGGTGGGTGTGTGTGTGTTCTCATTTTTGTTAAGAGGCTGAAAAGTAACTTTCTAGAGCATAGACTACCTCCATCTAGTGATGTCGGTTTATTGATTTTGATGTATTGATTGAAAATTGTTCATTATTATCTTGGTTAATTAACATCTAATGTTAACTCTACTGCATTTTATAGCAGTAGGGTAAAATGCTTGTCTTTGTTCAAAAGACTGTATTAACTGTAAAGACTGTCTTTTACATCAGCCTGTTTTCAGGGCCTTTTTTTGGCTACATATTTGTTATTTTTTGCCTCCCCATGCCTCCCCATATGTTTCTATGGCATAAATCAGTGTCTGTGACCTGTTTTCATTTAAAAAAAAGAACATTGGCACAAACCTAGCCTGTATGTATTTTTTGTATGTCATCGAGAGTATATAAATGATTTTCAATCAGAAAAAAAATTTGCGATTAAAATGCGATTAATCGCGAGTTAACTTAGGCATTGATGCGATTAATCGCGATTAAAAAAATTTAATCGATTGACAGCACTAATATATATATATATTAAAATATGAAGTGGTCAAGGGGCTAATATCACTACTTTCACATTTTAATAAAAGAAACCAGCAATAGTATTCAAAATATATGAAATATAACAAGCCCTGTTATAGCTAAGGGTGAATAAAGAGAACAGACCCCATTCACCCAGTTTTATTTAAATTTTTCTTTTGTAGGATTTCAGCTTTGGAAACTGAGACTACCACAATAGAAGATTCTGGTGCAGCTGAACCATCACTGTGATAATTAGGTCTGACTGTGTGTTACAGACCATCATCCTGTTAAAATACCCAAATGGTGACAAATGTTTATATTTCTGGCAAAGGCAAAACCTGCAGAGAAGAGAAGAAGTACAGCATTATAAATCTACAGTGTTTTACATTGGGATGATTTGCACATATCTGCACATTCATCCTTTCGATTTTTATTCTTTAGAAAAGCTCAGTTTTACATTTATCTGACCAAAGTGTACCTTTTTACTTTAGTCTTGGTAGATTTCAAACAATAGAGGAGTCGGGAAAACTTCTTATGTTTACATTTTGATAGAAAGTAGCGTCATACAATCAGTTTTCTGTATGATGTTCCCTCTCATATTAGTTGTGTGTAATAAACATGGGTCGTCCGACAGAACAGCAGAGCTGCACTTTTTCTACACATGAACTTATGAAAGTGTAAATTTCTCTGTTACAGTGTTGCAAATCTATTACAAACAGAGGACTAAGAAATAACGTTTATGTATTTCAAAAGCCCAATTGTTGAACATCACATGCCGAAGTGCATTCTGTGGTAAATTCAAGTGATTGAAAAGGAAAGGTTCACACCTGTCTGATGCATTTGGTAATCCTTGGGGATATAACAGTGTGGAAAAAAAGAATATTCTTATTCCAAACAAACAGAATA